TAGTTAACTTTTTTGTTTTTATAAACAGAGGGATTACTCTAATGATAAAAAAGACAGCACAGTAATGCATAGACCTGTAACAACAGCACAGTAGACTTTTTTGCAACAGCATCACCACAAACGTAATAGATTGTGCTGTGATGTTGTGACATTTTACATTCTCATCACTAGTCATGAGTTTCATTGTACCCACATTCTCAGAAACACTTATTATCTTTTAAAATTATACCATCTTATTGATTATGAAAGGTGTGTCTCATCAGGCATTTCCCTGATATAACGCTGTTGAGCATCTTTCTTGCATTTATTGACCATTTGTGTATCTCCTTTATGAAATAACTGTTTACATCTCTTGTCTACTTTTTAAACTTGGAGGTTTGGGTTTTTAAAAATTAATTTATAAACGTAAATCCTTTATATTTTACAGCTACTTTCTCCTATGAAGGGTCTTTTCCATGATGATAAGTAACGAAGTATAAAAAGTTTTTAATTTTGACGAATTCCAATTTATCCCACCACTCGCCGGGACTTGGAATTGAAATCAGGGCCTTCTTACTGAGCTACATCCCCACAACTTTTTTTTTTTTTAATAATTTGAGACAGGATCTCACTAAGTCATCTGGTTACCCAGGCTAAGGTCAAGCTTACAATCCTCCTGCCTCATGCCTTCTAGAGTTTTGGGATTATAGGCATGTGCCACTGCACTGATTCACCTACTGTTTCTTTTGTCACTTGTACTTCGGAGTTATATTTAATAATGCTTTACCTAACAAAGTCACTCCTATATTTTCCCTATATTATATTCTTGAACTTTGTATAAATAGAATGATATAATATGTACTTTTTTGTACCTGGCTTCTTTCAAGCTAATGACTATAACATTCATCCATGTTGGTCCATGTATCACCAGTTTGCTTCTTTTTATTACTGAGTAGTATTGCAGTCAGTGAATATAAATACAGTTTGATCATTTCATCATTTATTTTTATAGACATGGATTGTTTGTAGATTTTGTTTATTCTGAATAAAGTCTATAAACTTTCAACCATACTTTCTAGACATATATTTTCATTTCACTTGTTGGGCTATATAGTGGTAAATCTCAACTTTACAAAGAATTGCCATGCAGATTTTAAGTCATTGTACCATTTTTATACTTTTGATAGAGTTACAATACCTCCCATACTGGCCCATTTTTGGTATGGTCAGTCCTTAGAATTGTGGCCATACTAATGTGTCCTTAGTATGTTTGTTTTTGTTGTTGTTATTTTCAAGTATTGAAGATAGAAACCAGAGCCTTCACATTTTGCGGCATTTCCAACCCTTTTTTTGCTTTGTAACTTTGAGACAGGGTCTTATTGTTTGAGCCCAGGCTGAGATCAAACTAGATAATCTCCCACTTCAGCCTCTTGGAGTGATGAGATTCCAGGCATCTGGTGCCACCATACCTGCCGTTTTAGTGTGGTTTTAATGTGTATTTCCTGATGACATGTGTTTGTTTTCCCCCGGTACTAGGAATCGAACTCACGATGTTGTGCTTGCCAGGCAGGTGCTGTGCCGCTGAGCTAAACTCTAGCCCCCAAGTTCAACATTTTTCAGATGTTTAGTGGCCATTTGATTTTTACATTGTTTTGGAAAGTATCAGTTTAGGTCTTTCATTATTTACTTGTTTATTTTTGTGCTTGGGATTAATGTGGGGTCTTGTGCATGTTAGGCTCTTTTTAAAAGTGTAGCATTTGTTTTGTTGATTATTGTTTTTAAGAGTTCTTTGCATATTTTGGATATTAGTCTTTATTCAGATAAACATATTAATGTTTTTTTTCTCAGTGTATAGCTTTTCTTTGTTTTTGGGGAGGTGCAGGGACAGGGCTTGTCTTGGTTATTTTTCTCTCGTTGCTGAGACAAATACCTGATACCCAAAATTAAGGAAGAAAAGGGTTATTTTGCTCACAGTTTGTGGAGGTTTCAGTCAATACTTGGTTGGCTCCAAGGCAGAGTGGCACATGGCAGAAGGCAACAGTTCATGGTGGCAGAACACAGCAAAAACAACAAGAGCAAAAAGGGAGGAGTGGCAGCTGAGCAGAATCTTTCCCTCCTTTATATTGCATGTAGACTACCCGCCCCAGGGCTGGTGTAGCACTCACACCCATAATCCCAGCACTGGACCGTGGGTTAGTCATAAACTCTAGAAGCCCACCCCATGACTCTAGAAGCCCCCCCCATGCGCAAGGCTTTGGGGGTACATACAGACACAAGCCATAACAGAGCTTTACCATCTAACCCTTGCGGCCTTGAACTCCCAATCTTTCTGCCTCAGCTCTCTGAGTGCTAAGATTACAAGTACCCACCACCATGTCCAGCTTACCTTTCCTTTTCTTAATGGCATCTTTTGAAAAGCAGAGATTTAAGATTTTCATAAAGTTCAATTATTTAGTCACTTTTTCATATGTTTAGTGTTTCCTTGTGTCCCATTAATCAATTTCTGCCTACCCCAAGGTTGTGAAGAAGATTTGTTTTGTTTAGGAGGTTTACAGTTTTAGGCTTATCATCCATTTTGAGTACTATTTGCATATTATGTGAGATAAGGCAGGGACAACATCTTTAAATAATGTCATGTCTTTTTTTGGAATACTGTTTCATTTGTAAGCATTTCTCACAGCTTTGTTTTTTGGTTTTTTTTTTTTTTTTTTTTTGTTTTTCTCCGGTACCGGGAACCGAACTCACGACCTTGCGCTTGCCAGGCAGGCGCTTTTGCCGCTGAGCTAAATCCCCAGCCCCTCTCACAGCTTTGTATTATTCAGTATCTGAGTTCAGTGTTCTTTGTGAATTAGTTTAACCTTCTCTGATCCAACCATGAATTTACTTGACATTCTTGATTATCCTAAAAGTTCCAGCTCAGCAGTCTGTGAACTGACACTCTGAAAGCCTCTGATTACATACTTTATCATCTCTACTTCCACTACACCTCAAAGCTAGTAAATACCATTATTTTCTTTGAAATGCACGTCTGTTGGTGGTAGTGATACCATTTAATTATTTGGCATATCACAAGCATTCAGAAATAAGTATGTAAAAACTTTAGGTTCATATTATTTCAGTAAAGTTTATTTCTCTACCTCTCTTAGAATTCTTTAGAATCATATAGAAATTTACTTACATAGATACACAGATTTTTCCCTAAGAAAAATCATGAGCTTAAATAATATATATAAAAATTATTTAAAGTAAAACATCATAATCTTTTTCAAATAAAAATATAGTACTTAGTTGATGTTTAATTTGTCTAGTTAGTAATTTTTTATGTTTCTAACTATATTTGGGAAATTTTATCAAATTATTTTTTACCGTGAAGATACATTAAGGACCAAGGATAGAGCTCATTGGTACAGCGCCTGCCTGGCAAGCACTAGGTCCGGAGTTTGATTCCCAGTACCCCTCCCAAAAAAAGATACAGTAAACAAATCATGGATATAATTTGTTTGTTCAATTTACATTACAGTGTTATTCAATATGATATAATCTGGAATTTGGAAAGTTTTTAAAATATGGGGTGATGATTTTATTTCAGTTCAATAAATTGTTAATGTATTTTGCTTTAGTTAACATGTAAGTTATAATTCTGGCTCTAAAAGTTGATTCTGTAACCTGCAAAATAGGATTTGCAGTCAAATAGGATTTGACTTACGATTCTTTTCTACCTCAGTTTTCATATTTTATAACTTAGTTTTGAGAGCATATTTTGTATTCTAAAGCAGTTGACATTTTCAAAGGAGTACCTGGAAGTGAGTAGTGGCAACATTAAATAAACAAGTAGCTGTTTTAGGACCTTTATTATTTGAACAATTTATAGTCTGTATCTTTGTAGTGATAGAGACACGTTTTTCCAACCTTCCTTTGTGCATATATGAAAGAAAAGATTTAGTGTTTTGTTGAGTTGTGGGATGGATCTTTGAAATTACTTTAACCCATCTTTCTTTATAGAGAAGAGGCCTAAAATGAGGGTTCAGACTCAAAAGTCAACAGGGATCTGAAGAGTGAAGAGGTCCTAGTTTCACATTCCCAGCACACTCATAAATAGCAGCTGTTAGTTGGCCAGGGTTTTGGAGAGACAGTGGATTATGAAGATGGAGAAAGTTGGAGCCCTTCCTTATCTAAAGGAGCTCCTATTTAGCTATAGTCTGTTGTTACTGTACAGGAAAATGGGCCCGTTTTCACACCTCTTTTTATTTCTCAAAGGAATATAGGATTGTAGCTAAAGTGTGTATGTATATTCAATTTATTTGGGCAGATTAAATGAAGCAAATTTTTTTTAAACAAAAGGGATTTGGTTAATTTCTATGCCCTGGTCACATTATAAACAAAATAGTTACTAATTCCATAAAATTTGTTGTACCTCCTCCAACTATATGTTCTTTTTTCCTGATGCCCATCTAGCTACTTTTTTCACCAGATTTCATCTAATTTGCAAAAAAAAAATATTTTTAAAGAGACCTTAGTATATTGGCCAGGCTGGTCTTGAGTCTTAGTTCAAAGGATCCTTTTACCTCAGCCTCCCAAGCAGCTGAGACTACTGTCTGGAGCCACTCTTCCTGGCTCCCTAATTTGAATTTTTAATGGAAATGTTTACATACCTATATCTTGTAATCTGAGTGGCTACTTTGAAGAAGACAATTTGCAATATATTAACCATTGTTAATTTCCTACTACCTTGTTTTGAAATTCTGTATCATTGTTTTTATTGTTTTTCTCTTCAAAATAAAAAAAATAGTGATGGGGCTAATAACACTAAAATGTTTAACATAATTTGCTATACATAAGTGAAAAAAATGCAGCAGTTATTTTATTAGTGTCAACTGAAAAAAATCATTGAAATAAAAGCATATTATTAAAGCTGTGTGTCCTAAAACAATGGCAAGTCATGATGCTGAAGCTCTAAATATCATCACTACTTTAGTATCAGTGTCAGATGAGGTGTTGAACAGTTTTTCATTACGTTTTAGATTATTAGAGACGGATAGTAAGTCTTTAAAATCTGTAAATGGATCAAGAAGAAACAGTGGCTCCTCTCTTGTATCAAGTTCATCAGCCTCCAGCAATCTCAGCCACCTTGAAGAAGATTCTTGGATTCTTTGGGGAAGAATTGTTAATGAATGGGAAGATGTGCGCAAAAAAAAGGAAAAGCAGGTTAAGGTATTCATGTCTTTATTTTGAAATTCTTCCTTTTAACTCCAGAGGGTATCAGGCATAGGTCTCAGGATTAGAAAAAACAAACATTCTAGTAATTTCCAAGCTATGTAACAAGTCCTCTTTATATGTTTAATTATTTGTGTCCCATAAAAGTTCTGATTTGTAGGAATTAGTTGTTACAGAGGTTTTAACAATGTAGAAATATATAGCTGAAAATTATTAAGAAATTAAATTCTATGACTTGTGGAAATAAAGTTGTGACCTCCTGTATCATTGCATTATCAATGTTTTACTTTTTTGCCTTCAACAGCCCTTTAAAGTGTGATGAGTTTGGTGTAATCATTCACAGTTCGACAGACAGTTAAGTCCTTGATGCTTTCAGAGGCCACATTGTTAATGTAATGACAGGAATTTAGTAATGACTTTGTACTATTCTTACCAGAACAGGATATATAAAAGGGCCAAATCATAGACTTAGTTAAAAAGCTTACTAATCTCATTTTTAAAAATTACTTAATTTATTATAAAATTAGCTTTATGAATTACAAATTTGATAAAAATTTCCTCTTCATTCCAGTACCCCTCCCCAGAAAGTCTTTTTTAGCTTAGGAAGTGTGAGCCTCGCATTTAACATTTTTACTTTATTTTTATTTTTTAGGAACTTGTTCGTAAAGGGATACCCCACCACTTTAGAGCAATAGTTTGGCAACTTTTATGCAGTGCACAGAGTATGCCAATTAAGGATCAGTATTCAGAACTCCTGAAAATGACCTCACCTTGTGAGAAATTGATCAGAAGAGACATTGCTAGAACTTACCCTGAACACAATTTTTTTAAAGAAAAAGATAGCCTTGGACAGGAGGTTTTATTTAATGTAATGAAGGTAAGTTCAATTTATTCACTCAAAATAAATGAAATTAATTTTCAAAAAGTTGAAATTATGCATTTCCCATGATGAAGTGTTAATTCCCAACACAGTAATCAATTGCTTTGGCAATAAAGTTGATTTTTAGCTTAATTTCTGCTTTAATTTGGATGCTATATTACTCTTCAGTTTGGAGAACTTCTTAGAAAATTCATTACATTATTCAGTTTTAGTTGACAGAAATAAAATAACCTTATAATCACATATTATGGAGAGATCCCATAAAAATAAATAATTCACTTTTTGTGAGGTTCACCGAAGCTGCTATCATGGTTGTATTCATACAGCCAGCAAATTGTTCTTGCAGTGGCCAAGTGTTGGTAAGAATGCTTAAACACTTGAAGGTTTGCCGTTCTGATTTTTCCTCCAATATTGCCTTTTCCCTTTCTTCTACAGTTTCTTTCCTTCATTATCTCTGTGATATACTGATTTCTTTCAAATCATTTCAGTTTTACCTTAACCTTGCTGTAGTTTTACCTTTATCATATATAAATTTTACTTGATTTTAAAGCTTTTCCACACTGTAAATTCCCTTATTTTAATTGTAGGAATTACCACTTTCTAATTATGAAAAGTAAATTTTATGTAATAGAACATTTGCTTTTAAAATAGGCTGACAGCTGGGTGTGGTGGTACATGCCTGTAATCTCTGCACTTGGGAAGCTGAGGCAGGAGAATCACCATGAGTTTGAGGCCAGCCTGGCCTACGTAGTGAGTTCAAGACTAACCTGAACTACATAGTGAGACTTTGTCTCAGAAAACCAAAAAAAAAAAAAAAAAAAAAAATCTGTAATAAGTAAGCAAAACCTTTTCTAAAAAAAGCTTTAATCTACCTATCTCACCAATTTAGGTTTTTAGAGAAGAAAGGTATAGTATATAATGTTGAAGTGTTTTGAACACCATGTTTTACTTTTTAGGCATATTCTTTAGTGGATCGTGAGGTTGGTTACTGTCAAGGAAGTGCTTTTATCGTTGGGTTATTGCTTATGCAGGTAAGTTAATACAGGTAGTGTCTAAGTTCTTTATTAAGGTTGGAGTGGAGAATGTAAAAATCATCTTTGTTTTTATTAATAATAAGTAGATATTGGGTACTTTTCCATTGGCATAATTTGAAGAGTAATTTTTTAGTTTGCATTTTGAAAGAAGAAAAAGTTGAAATGACTTAAAATATACTAATTTGCCACCAAATGAAATTTCAGCTTTTTTTTTTGTGGTACTGGAGATTGAACCCAGACCTTGCACACTGCAATTCTAAGTTACACCTCTACCTCCTTTATTACTTGAGATATACAGCTGTACCATAATATTGTACTAAAGCCTCTACCTTTAAACCTTACTTGTTAACATTTAATGGGAAGTAATCTTTTCCCTATGCAGTGATTAAAGTGTCAGTATGAAAATCTTACTTATGTTGTGTAATGTCTTTGGAAATTTATAAAGGAATTTTGTATGTCATGGAGCTACAAGTTTGTTGTGCATATTTGCTATAAACTCTAACATAGTGGAACTTAACTGCTTTTACTGCCTCAGGGCTATTTTAACATTGGCAGTGACTTACTTGGAAGTGGGTTTGGGTGAGGTATTTTCAGAACAGAGGGCAGGAAGGACAATTTAGCTTTTTATTGAGACTCAGAATTTTAGTCCTGAAAATGGACTTTGGAGATAACTTCATTTGAATCATGTAAGTTGGGTTTTATATCTCAGTTCTGCATGAACTCTATGAATTTAGGCTAGATTATTTAACTTCTCTCTGACTCAGTGTTACCTATATTCAGACTCATTGTGAGGCTTGTGTAAAATAATGTGTAGCATGGTGTTTGGCACATAGTAGACATGCAGTGAAAGCTCAGTGCCGTGACTTGGCCAAATCATGCAACTTGGTAGATAAAAGCAGGTTAGGAATCAGAAAGTCTTGTTCCTTAATACTTTACTTTAGTTTCTCAATTATTCAATTTACCTGAGTTTTGAAGCTCTGTAAGTAGAATACAAACACACACACACACACACACACACACACACACACATTAAACCCAGAGCTTTGCCCATGTGATTTACCGGTGCTACACCATGCTAGACCCCAGCCTCTGTACATATTTTCAGAGTTGCATAAACCTGATGTCATAGATATGGTTTATAATGAAAGAGCCTAGTTTTTACTTTGTGTTATAAGAGCTGCTAGTGGTTGTTATACTGACCTTTTGTTTTGTTTTATTTTTTGAGACAGGGTCTCACTGTGTAGTTCAGGCTGGCCTCAAACTCACAGTGATCCTTTTGCCTCAGCCTCCTGAATACTGAGGTTATAGGCGTCTGCCATCATGTCCAGCTCTGTTTGTCCTTTGCAGGTGGGACTAGGTCATAGTTAACATAATGTAAAACTATACATGTTCATGCTGAGGTATAGATGTGACTCTTAATTTGTCATTGGCTAATATTGGTATGTGTTTCATTATTGAGCTCCTTATTGTCAGCCCAGTGATTTTTGTCACAATTGTGTTTTATTTTTATATTAACTGCAAAGTAACTTTGTAAGAGTCATCTCTACTGAGCGCCTAAAGGGCAGTTATTCTGTACTGTGGTAAATCTGACAACAGCTGCCTGGCTCCCATAGGTACCCTAAGCAGCTATCAGACCTTTCACCAAGATGCTGCAGGCAATCATAGTATGATACTTATTTCAAGGAGCATCAGCACCACCATTAAATTTATCAGTGGCGTTTTGGTGATTGATTGACCTGGCTTGTATTGTCAGTGATGGCTAATAAACTGCCACATTAATCTCTTAATAGCCCAGGGTCATGAGTTAGAAAGGGTGGTAGAACCATTTTTAAAAACTCGCCTCTCTTTCTAAAGTTTATGCTCTTATACCCCATGCTGTATTGTCTCCTACAACTTTAGTTTAGCAGCTTAACTCAGTCTGAAGCAATTTACAAAGTTAGTGTATATTGTATAAAAATGATTAAAAGTGTTAGATATATGTCTATATCCCTTCTATAAAATTAGTTATTTTTATCCTTGTTAGGCCTTTACTAGAGACATGGATTTTTTAATTGGCTTTATGTTATAGGCAAAATATGTAGCAGCACATTGCTCTAGGCCTTGGTTGTCATGACTATACTTTCTAATATGAAAGAGTGACCGTAAAACAGCAAGTGGTTGTTCTTCATATATGTTACTTTATGCTTTTGTCAAGCTACCCACCTTATTTTTAAAACATCATTATTAAAAAACCCTCCCCCTGTTCTCATGTCAATATTCTTGCCTGAGAAGAGGAAGTGAAACTTTTTGATGCATAAGAAATTCTTGTAAAACATAAAAGGGAGATTCATTCCCACCATTCCTGGACAGGAAGTGGGGAAGGCAGAGGAAAAAGGTTGGTAGTGAGAGATCACACACCATGTAGGATTTTGTGAGAATGAGGATGTTGAAAGCCACCAGAGTATTTTGATGAGTGATGTGAAATGTTCCACTGTGCTTTGAATGGGTCACTGGCAGTATTATGCTGTGCGGGAGGCTTTAGGGAGGGAAGTGTAAGGGAGGCAGCAGAGTGGCCGACCGAAAAGCACTTGCAGTAGTTCAGGCAATAGATTGATCTTTGTGGTGGCTTGGACTAGGTGTTTGGAGTGAGAAGGTATTGATTCCTGAAATTGAATATAGGGTCAACAGAATTTAGGGATGTATTGGATGTGAAGTAAAAGAGAAAGGAATCTAAAAGAGTAAGGAGTCTTAAGAATTCTGAGCAAAAGTTTGGGGGCAGCAAGGAATGGCAGAGGAGGTAATGAGGTATGTAGTTTGAGATGTCTACTGGAGATCCACACGGAGCTGTTAAGTGGGTGGCCTTACACTGTTTTTTTTTTTTTTTTTTTTTTTGAGACATTGTCTTACTGTGTAGTTCAGGCTAGTCTTGAACTCATTGTGTATCCCACGTTGGCCTCAACGTGGTAATCTTCCTGCCTCAGTCTCTTGAATGCTGGGGTTACAGGGGTGTACCATCACACCCAGCTATTAAGTGGGCAACTGGAAAAATGAGAAAGGAATTAGGGAAAAGTCCAGGTGCAAGTAGGGGTGGTAGATATGGTCGTATGCAAGTGGGGGAAGTTTTCTTCTGATTACTTTTTTTCTTTAAATTGAAATAGTAAGATCATTAGCTTGGAATTCATTGGGGAATGTGGGGCATGGTAGCAAGTGTCTGTAATCCCAGCACTCAGGAGGCTGAGGCAGGAGGATCACTGTGAATTCAAGACAGTCTAGGCTACATAGTGAGTTCAAGGCCAGCCTGAACTACCTAGTAAGATATTGTCTCAAAGACGAAACAAAAGCCTTGAACGGGAAAGATGTTTTAGAAGATGAAGCAAGAGTCAGGACTGAACCGGGTATGGTGCTACGGGGCTGTAATCCTAGCTACTTGGGAGACTAAGGCGGGAGAATCATAAATTCCAGGCCGGACTAGGCAATTGATTGAGACCCTGTCTCAAAGTAAAAAGTGAAATGGACTGGGGATGTAGTTCAGTGGTAGAGTTATAGTGTGGGTTCACTTTCCAGTATTATGCACCCACAAACTCAAAAGTGAGGACTGAGAAGTTTAAAATGAGAGTGATTGACTTTGGGACATAGCATATACCAGACACTATTAAAATCTCCTGAAATTAGTGGTATTGAATTCAAAGTGAAACTAGCCAGCATGGTTTTTTTTTTTTTTTTTTCCTCGCCTCCACTCTGTGCTGCCTAAATGTAGGTGTAGAATTGAATTTATCTAAGGATGGAGGAGGGGAGGGATGGGGATGGAGGGAGAAGGAGAAAAGAGGAGGGAAGGAGGAGAAATTGTGGATAGGAAGTGAATAAGTATAGTGGGGTAAGCTGCAAAGTGAGCACAGCAGGTTGGGAAGAGAAAATAGGTGATAGGTCTGCTGATAGAGGTTCAGTAATTTGCCCAGGGTTATATAGTTACTGAGTGGAAAAACTAAGAGTTCAACTTTCGTGGCTCTAGAGCTTGAGTTAGTGGTAACCAGGCTCATTAGAAGAAAGGAAGTCAAAGATTTGCTAGGCTAGGGATATAATTAGGGAGCTGGTTGGAGGATGACATGGTATGGTGGCCCAGAAGATTTTGGATGCTGAGGAAAAAACCACCACAGAGCAACCGAGTGGTATATTTGGTTGGTGTTTGTTTCCGAGAGCAGAGGAGGTTAATGGTGTGGAAGTGGCTTTAAGGTTCAAGGAGGGACATAATATCTTGCTAACCATTGGCTCCTTCCAATGCTGTGGGAGAGAAAATAACTACTGAAGGGGAGAGCCACATTTTAGCTACAGGAGAAAAAGAACATTTGGAAACAAGATTGAAGACATAGCTAGAACACTGGAAATGGGATCACGTTAGAGGAATACTGGAACTGTAGGGCTGGGAGATCTGGGATCTTGGGCTAGTGGCTGACAGAAAACTTTGGGGCTGGAGGGATTCATAGGATTTATAGGGATGATCTCCAGGGCAGGTCTGTGGCTGTATTGGCTGGAAGGAAGGAGTGTGGGTTTTGCCAAGAGTAACTGTTAGCTTCTGTCCACAGCTATGTTGAAGACAGGAATAATGTATTGTTATTTGCAACAGTTTTGGTAAGCACGCTTAGAGATCTTTTGGAGGTATTGTAATTGGTACTTTTAAATCCCAATTAAAGATAATCTGAAAACTTATTTTGTAAGTTTTTTTTTTAACAGTTAATGTTATAGCATATCACCTCTCAGAATCCTCAAGGCTTTTCGTCTTACTTAAGGTGAAAAAAAAGATACAGTGACTTCTAGGGCCTATGTATTTTGGTTTCCTGTTACTTCTTTTCCATAACCTAATCTCTCCTCATACCATGGTTACTATTTTTGTTTATTAAGCAATATAAATATAAGCTGACTTCATTATGTTTTCATTCTTTTGTTTGGCACCTACTAGGGAGTTCTTGCGTAGATTTTATTTTCTTCAAGAGTGTGATAATGACTTCTAGTTTGGTAGTCTCCTGTTTGCTGTTCCTTGAGCATGCCAGCATGACTCTGTCTTAGGGCCTTTATACTCTTCTGTTTTCTAGGACTGTTCTTTTCTCAGATGCTTGCTCACTTTCTTCAGAATTTTGCTAAATGTTACCTTATGTAGGGACCTTCCCTGACCTGTGAAAATAGCAGTGTGTTTCTCCAGCACTGCCTCTTACGCTACTTGTTTTTCCATAGCATTCACTGCCATCTAGCCTACATACATACATGTTGATTTATTTTGTATATTGTCTGTCTCCCCTCTCTATAAATTGCAGGCTCCTTGAAAAGTAGAGATAGTGGTATATATCCTGGAAAAGGAAAAAATATCTGGCTCTAAATGAGTATTTGGTGGTTGAATTGATGAATCAAGCAAGTTGAGGAGGTTAGCCTCAGAGACTTGTCTGACTTCTCATTCTCGGAATGGGAACCTTAAACTTCTTGACTCTTGGTCAGTTGCTCTTGACGTTGCTTCATGTGGCATTCAAAGTGGTGTTTATGGTTAGTTAGGTGTTTGCTTTAAATATAATTTGGTTTATTTGTGTATCACAGAACAGTAACCTGTGTTGACTTTTTTCTCTTAATGCAGATGCCAGAAGAAGAAGCTTTCTGTGTATTTGTTAAGTTAATGCAAGATTATAGACTTCGTGAACTTTTTAAGCCCAGTATGGCAGAATTGGGCCTTTGTATGTACCAGTTTGAATGCATGATACAGGTAAAAGTACAGTTTTATATTTTTATCATCTTGATCTGAGTGACATCTTAGCAAATTTAATGTTAGAAACATTAAAGCAGTTGAGAAAGATCAGTGCTCTAGTCACATGGTCTTTTGTTGGTTAATTAATACATGACTGGATATCTTAGTTACTTTTCTCACTGTTGAGACAAAATACCTGACACCCAGAGTTAAAGAAGGAAAAGTTTATTTAGCTCACAGTTCATAGAGGTTTCGGTCCACATTTGGCTGGCTCCAAGGCAGAATGGTTTGACAGAGGGGCATCGCAGACGAGAACCAGTTCATGGCAAGCAGAAGACAGCAAAAGAAAGGAACCAAAGGACCTTAACAGCGTCTTTCTGCCCCTTTTATCTTACCCAGACCACTTAGGATGGGTGCCACTCACATCCTTAATCCTATTCCTTGAGGCTAGCACTGCACCTTGAATCAATTCCAGCATCACACACTTTAGATTCAGCTACCTCTGAAAACGCCTCACCTATGACTGCGTGAGGCTTTGGGGTGACATCCAGACAGAACACTGGGCTTACTTCCCAGGGAGGTGCCATCTGCAGGTAAAATACATCTAGAACTTGGCTGCAGTTTTCTCACTCAAACCTTAAGCATTTTTTCCAAATGTGCCGTAACTTACTGCATGCGTGCACGAATTTCCTTACATCCTGTTAGGTCTTACTACTGTTAATCTAGTCTGAACTCTGAACAGGAGCTTTACAACATTATGACACTGGTGTTGATCAGTTCATTTATTTCCTAATTATCTGTAATTTCTCTTTCAGTCCTCTCTTCCGCTTCTCTTTTTTTTAACCTGCTTTTTGCTAACCTATTGTATTTTTTTTACCATAAAATTTCTATCATTTTATGTTGATAGTTTTAAGAGTCAAATGTTTGGTGACTACCTGAGGATGGAGAAAAGAGGAGTAGAGTCAAAATCAAGTCAAACTACCTTTGAAATATGTTCCCTTTCTGGGTTTTATTTTTATATAACAGGAACAGTGTTTAGCACATTTTCCTGTAATACAGAGGTATACATGTCTCATTGGAGTATCTTTTCCCTGGTGGTCTTACCTATAGGAATTATGTAGTCCTCTATCTTTTCTATGGTGGGAAGAATGAGATATGTAAAACATTTTCACATTTTAGAGAAAAAATTGATTTTTTTCTGAAATAGCTCGTTTTGAATCAACCTTAAACATTCTTGGTATATTTTTAGTTAATGTATTCCTTCTGCTTTGAATTACTGCAAGTACCTATATTTTGCATATTTTCTTGTTCCATAGGAAGATAAGAATACATGATTAATGGTAGCTAGCACCTGAAGGTATTTCAGCATAGCATTTCTTTGCTTTAAATTTTTTTGGAAATATTGTTTGCATAACCTGATATGGCAACACACTTCTGTAATCCTGGCACTCAGGAGACTGAGGCAGGAGGATCACTGTGAGTTCAAGGCAAGCCTAGGCTATGTAGTGAGTCCAAGGCCAACCTGAACTGGATAGCAAGACCCTATCTCAAAAGAAATAAAAAAAGAAAGAAAGATAGAAAATAAATGTAGTTTACAGAAAATGATAGAGAATATCACACAGCTTTGTACCCACCAACAAGATTCAACACATAAACATTGTATCACACGACCACTCAATGGTGTTTATAGTTGGATGGGTACTTAGTTTAAATATAAAATGGCTATAAGTTAGTTTTTCTTATTAATCAGATGTTATACTGTACTCAGAATTCCAAATCAACATCAATAGCCACTATCCTGAGTATGTCAATTTTTATATATAGCTTTCTGGTATCATGCTTAGTTGACTGACCCTTCCTTCTTTCCTCCCTCCCTCCCTCCCTCCCTCCCTTCCTTACTTCCTTTTCAAGATGGACTTTTACTGTGTTGCCTAGTTTCCTGAGTTGCTGGGATTATAGGCATGTGCTACCATGCCTGGCTATGCTTGGTCTTATGTCATGTTTGGTATTGGCTAGTCATAATGATTTGATTTAAAACTCTTAAATTTTACTGCATTTTAACTAATTTTTTTTTGTGTGTGTGAGAGCACGGGTATGAGCCACCACATCTATTTGTTTGTTTGTTTTTTTGTTTTTGTTTTTTTTCCGGTACTGGGAATCAAACACACGACCTTGTGCTTGCCAGGCAGTCGCTGTGCCATTGAGCTAAATCCCCAGCCGCATCGCCACCATATCTGGACTTAACTAATTCTTTTCTTTTCTCCAGGAACATCTTCCTGAACTCTTTGTACATTTTCAGTCTCAGAGTTTTCATACCTCAATGTATGCATCATCCTGGTTTTTGACTATCTTTCTTACAACATTTCCACTACCACTTGCAACAAGGATATTTGATATCTTTATGTCTGAGGTAAGTAATGCGCAGGCTAGGAACAAGAGCTGAACAAAGGGGTCATTGAGGTAATTACAGTAGGGTGATAAAGGGAGAAATAAGGAATCCCATTGGCCCCTACATAAACTGCTTACATGGAAAATCTTATGTAAAAATTATCAGAGATCTTTGAGGGTAGATACTGTTAATACCCTGTTTATTCTGTAATATGTAGATGAGGAAGCTAAGACTTACAGAAAGTTTAAGGAGCTTGTCCAAGGATATACACATATGTGATTATACTACGCAGGATTCAAACATAGGCAGTGAAAGTCTGGAGCCTCTTAATCAAACCTCTTTATCACCTCCTCACTGATGCCGTGAGAGTTATGAGAGAGAAATTTGCCTTATAGTTAATATTATTGCAGTACATCTATAATTTAAGTAAATAGTAATTAGTATAATTTTATTCTAGTCTGTGAACACATTGTCAGTGATCCTTTGTCTTCCGTTCTCTCAACCTAGCATTAATTGTTACTAAGTACATCTTGGGATATAATTTATCTAAATTACTTGTGGACTGGAGTTGAAAAACTGCAGTTCACTTACTGATCTGCTACGGTTTTCATGGCAGATCTGTCCCGCCACCTTTTTTTGTAAATTAAATTTTTATGCAGTGCAGCCCTGCCCGTTTGTCTGTGTTGTCTATATTTGCTTTTGAGCTATGGTGGCAGAATTGAATAGTTACGACAGAGACCAGATGGCTCACCAAGCCTAAAATGTTTGCTATCTGGCTCTTTACAGAAAGTGTTTTCCACTCACTAGTTTGGATTCCTAAATGTTTACCTTAGTGTTATTTTGAATGATGTTTTTGACGATTGAAGAGTAAAACAAATTTGGCTTCATTTAATTTGTTTCATCAGGGTTTAGAAATAGTGTTTCGAGTAGGATTAGCACTTCTTCAAATGAATCAGACCGAATTAATGCAACTTGACATGGAAGGGATGTTACAGGTAAGGCAGTTCATGATTTTCTATATGCTTTTAGATTTCACTATTAATTAGTTAATAACAAGTGGCACGAAGTGGTTCCGTTGTTTTTCTTTTTTGTGTCTTAGCACTTTCAGAAGGCCATTCCACATCAGTTTGACGGTAGTCCAGACAAGTTAATCCAAGCAGCTTATCAAGTCAAATACAACTCAAAAAAAATGAAAAAGTAAGTATTTTATGTTCCCTTTTTTAGTTTGGGGGTTTGTTGAAGCATATAGGAAATTCAGTGGAAATGACAAAGCATTCTAGTGATAAGTTCCTTTTTCCTCTTTAAGGTTATAGAATTCTATTTTATTTGGTAGCATTATTATTGATTTTAGTATAACAAAGTTAATGTCATACTGCTTTTAATAGTGATTCTTAGTACACTGTTGTGTTACCTTTAAATACCTGCCCCCTTCCTTTCCATATTGACTGGAGTTAGCAGCCTGGTATTTATTTATTTATTCATATATACAATTGTGTTATTATTTTGGTGCTGGGGAGAAAAAGAAAGGAAGAGAAAGAAGGAAGGGAACTTGAGGATGAGAGTTCCTTAGTCTTCCTGGTAACTGGTTCTTTTTTTAGACCTTACCACCTGTATAATCTGTTTTTAAAAATTTCATTTATCATTCTTACTTACCAAACTTCCAATCTTTAGTCTTTTACTCCCTTACGCATACTATCTCTGTTCTGTGTTATTGCTAGCTGTGTGATACCCAGTAACCTGTGGTCTAAATAAGTGTGCCTCTTCTGTCCTTGTGTATTCAGTATTCATATAGCCAGGTGTTGCTTCACAGGTAAGTGAGGTTGCTGATAGTAAGCTCTGTTCCCAGTGCTCCTTTATGCATATTTAGATTGGCTCTGATTTACTCTCTCATTCCCTGTAGTGGTTATTTTAAACCATACCATTCTTCCAAGTGCCTAGTCCCTTTTGCCATACTTGAATTTCAGTGAATTACCTTACTGGTAATTCATCGGCCATTACACTCAAATCTGGTCATCTATCTAATAGACCTGGCCATATTTCTTTCTTCCCTTTTCAGAATACAACATTTTATTCCTTTATAATGCTAATTTAGAATACAGGTTATTACTCATTCCTGTTTCTTCCAGATCCTTGCTCCATTAATTATTCCTTTATTTTAAATCTTCCACCCCTCTTTTTGTATTGTTTCAAGAAAGTAATTTTGAATCATGACTTGTAAGTAACAAAACAAGACCTGCCTTAATATAACATTCTGTTCTCATAAAGCTTGACTATAAAGAAAGAATAGTTTATACTCATTAGCTTCAGGTCATATTTCACTTATCTTTTTTTTTTTTTTTTTTTTTTTTTGCCAGTTGCAAACTTTACACATTCAGAAAAATAGAATTATTTATATGTATAGATAGAGTCTTGTTATGTTTTCCAGGCTTGCCTTGAACTCACTATGTAGCCCAAGCTGGCTTTGAACTTGTGGCGATCTTCCTGTATCAGCCTGCTGAGTTGGGATTACTGACGAGTGACACCATGCCAGAAAAATAGAATATAAATATGTATATGCTTATCTAGGCATAACAGTTGTTAATATTGTTCCATATTTTCTTTTTCTTTCTTTGGTGTTTTAAAGTGAATTATAGAAATCCTGACGCTGTATTCCTAATACTTAAGTATTCATTGAAACAAAAGAAATGCATTTACCTCTCTTATCATACGGCTTTTACCACATAACAATGATTCAGTTATCCCACATTGTTTAATACCTGTCTAGATTTCCCTAGTTGTGCCCCAGATGTCTTTGCTATTGATTATACTGCATTCAGCTTTTCTCTTGGATTCGTTTTTTCTCCTCCATTTCCACCTCTTTTAGTCACTTCTGCCTTTTTAAAATAGTGTTAGGGATTGAATTCAGTGCCTTGAGTATGCTAGGCAAGCATTCTACCTCTGAGCCATACCCTCAGCCGCAGATTTCTCTTAATATAGGTCAGCATTGCCCACTTAAACCATCTTTTTTGTTTCTTTGTTTGAAATGAAATCTCTCTGTGCTGCCCATACTTTGACCTTGAACACCAGGGCTCAAACCATCGTCCTGCCTCAGCCTTCCAAGTACTTGGGAATACAGGTGCATTTTACTATGTCTAGCTCCAAACCCTCTTTTTAATATATTGATTTGTTGAAGAGAACAAGTTAGTTGTATAAAGACTATCCAAAATTAAGGATATATTTAGTAATTATTTCTACATGATCATCTTTGTTTTCTCTCATGTATTTTTATAAACTGAAAGGTAAATGTAAAGACTTAATTAGATTAAGGTCAGTCATTTTCTGCTGGACATGGTGGTGCATGCCTGTAATCGCAGCACTCTGGGAGGCTAAGGTAAGAGGCTATTAAGTTTAAGCCCAGCCTGAGCAATAGTGAATCCTTGTCTATAAGTAAAAAGGACTGGAGATGTATTTAAGTGTGAAGGCTGTGAGTTCAGTTTCTTTCTGTCTGTCTTTCTGTATTTTTTGAGACAGGTCACTATACAGTGCAGGCTGGCCTTGAACTCATTTTGTAGCCCACGTTGGCCTCAAACTCACAGCAATCCTCCTGCCTCCACCTCCTGAGTGCTGGGATTACAGGTGTGCACCACCACACCCAGCTTTGAGTTCAGTTTCTAGTACTGAAAGAAAAAAAACAGCACCACTAACAACCACAAAACATAAATGTTAGTTCACTGTCATTTCCTCCCCTCCCTCCCACCTTCTCTTGTCCCTTTTTTTTTTTCCCCCCCAGTACCCGGAATCGAACTCAACGACCTTGGCTTGCCAGGCAGGCGCTGTGCTGCTGAGCTAAATCCCCAGCCCTCTCTTGTCCCTTTTTTCCCTGCTCTATATTTAATTGACTTTGACACGGCATGTCAGTTTTCCTGTTGGCCATTTGAGACATTCTAGATTTGTTTGTTTGCTATTAAAATGCTATGAGTATTTGTGCAAGAATTTTTCCATGATACATATTTAAGAAGAGGATTCCTGGGTTGCAGAATAAGCGAGGCTCAACTAAAGTATTTGCCAAAGTGGTGCTAATTTTTCTATCTTAGCCAACAATATGTAAAAATTCTCATTGTGCTACTTTGTTATCAGTATCTGGTTAGTATTCTTAATTTTGGCTAATTTATTGAATGTAAAATATATCATTTTGGACTTAATTTGCTTTTCCCTGATTGTTAGTAAGAGTCAGTTTTTTTTTGTTTTTTTTTTTCCGTACCAGGACTCAAACTCACGACCTTGTGCTTGCCAGGCAGGGGCTGTGCCACTGAGCTGTATCTATATCCCTGGCTAGTATCTTTTTATATGTTTATTGACCTCGTGATTTTCATCTGTTTTTTCCCTCGCCTTCCTATTGTAGTATCTGCTTCTTATTTAGGACTTAGTAGTAGTTGTTCATATATATTCTGGATAATAATCCTTTGTCAGTGTTAAAAGATAGGTCTCATCCATTTTTGTTAAATACTACTCTTGGGATATAACAAAGGTTTTGTACTTATCAGTAACAAAGGTTCAAACTGTTGTAGGTTGCAGGATGGCAGAACAGAGAAATAAATAATTTATTATAAGTATAGTTATAAGTATAGTTTGGAAGATGCCAAAATGATAAGGTTATTTAATATAACATATAAGAGATGTGTAAGGTTTATGTCTTCAAAGTGGTATATACAGTCTTCCGAGGTCAAGAAATTGTTCAGAGCATGTAATTCTGCATATCTATGATAGAGTTTTCTTTCTTTTATTCTTTCTTCCTTTCTTTGTTTCTTTTTGTCTTTTTGAGACAGGGTCTTGCTGTGTACTTCAGGCTGGCCTTGAGCTCACTTTGTAGCCCAGGTTGGCCTTGAACTTGCAAGGATCCTCCTGTCTCAGCCTCCTGAGTGCTAGGATTATAGGCGTGCACCACTATGCCCGGCTCTTTTTTTATTTTAAAGAGAATAAAGAATTTTAAATATGAAAAATGATACAGAATTTCAAAACAAGATGATAGGAAATCAACAATGGTTGCTGCATTGCATTAGTAGAATTTTCTTAGTTCTCCATTCCATCTACTCTCTTATAATCTGCCTTTTCCTACTTTGTTGAAGGAAGGCAAACCTGCCATCCATTCCAAATCTTATTATGGTACATTGCCTTGGGTTGTAAAAATTCTCTAGGGTACCAGAGAAAGGAACAATTTTAGAATGCCTTCATCCTGTGGGAGTATCTCCTGGTAGAGCAAAACAAGAAAGATTGAATAAAGCAACTTCCTATTTCATTCACCTGACAAATAGTTGGAAAGGCTGCCTAATGTTTCTTACAGTTAGAATTCAAAAGTGAAATGGTGATCATGGAACATGTATTAACACATATTTATGTGAGTCCAAAAATGAAGACATACATTGAATAACAGAAAATTAATTTTACTCATTGGTTTAATAACCATAGCATTGTCTCTGCCCATTAGCTCATAGAATATAGGTTGTCATTTAAAGTCAGTGGAAAGTTTTAAAGCACACATGAATTGCATCCTGTGCAACTATATAGATGTCAGGTAAAAATAATTTGAGAATCCTTAAAATGAATATGAGGAAATACTCTTTTAACAAGGATGTAAGTTGAAAAATACAAAGACAATGAACATGGTAGGGTAGGAGGGTAGCAAACCAGATTTTGTGTCATCTTCTGGAGATGATACCTGATTTTGTTTGTTTGTGTGTTTCTCTCTCTCTCTCTCTCTCTCTCTCTCTCTCTCTCTCTTTCTCTTTCTCTCTCCCTCTCTGCTTCTCTCCTTCTCTCCCTCCCTCCCTCCCTTCCTTCTTTCTGAGACTTGTCCAACATCTTGCTACATAATCCAGCGTAGTCCTCAACTCACCTGTAGCCCGCGTTGGGCACAAACTCATGGCAGTTCTGCCTCAGTCACCATGACTGTACCTAAGTATAATTTTGAAGACCTTTGTTTCTGTTGCTAGGGTTATGTGGTGACTACAACACACACTGTCTGCTGATGCGGAACTTACAGAAATGTAGAAGACTGATACAAAACAAACAGGTGTCATTTTACTTGTTAAAAGTGCCACAAAGGAAACAAAACAGGATGAAACACATAGAATGATGGGCTGTTCTTTTAGATAGGGCACTCAAGGAGCTGGGGATTTAGCTCAGTGGCACAGTGCCTGCCTGGCAAGCATGAGGTCGTG